AACCCGCCTGCTCGTCTCTTCCAGAGCAGCTCCCATGGGGAGCTGAAGGCGATGTCGTTTCTCTGGAGACCTGCGAGGGCGACTCCCTGAGCCTGGACTGTGCCGCTAAGAGCAGCCCCCAGGCCACCCTGAGCTGGACCAATGGGAATGAGTCCCTCAGAGCCTGGGGCAGCACTAGGGGGCGCTGGGCAGTGGGGAGGAGAAGGGGTGGGGAGCGATCTCTGCAACAGAGACTCCGCATCCCAGCACCAGGTGAGGGGTCCCCATATAACTGGCCCCCTCATCCCACCCTGGAGGTGGCTGCATCCCAGTGCCAGGTGAGGTGATCCCATAAAACCAGCCCTGTGCCCTGCTCCAGAGGTGGCTGCATCTCAGCTCCTGGGCTGGGGTCTCTGGTGGGGTCATCCAGTGCTGCTCCCATGGGGAGCTGAAGGCGATGTCGTTTCTCTGGAGACCTGCGAGGGCGACTCCCTGAGCCTGGGCTGTGCTGCTAAGAGCAGCCCCCAGGCCACCCTGAGCTGGACCAATGTGAACGAGTCCCTGAGCCCCGGCCAGGGAGGGGCCGGGTGGCTGGAGCTGCCGAGTCTCAGCCCAGAGGACGCTGGGGAGTATCGGTGCCGGGCGGAGAATCCCTACGGCTCGGCCAGCAGGTCCCTGCGTGTGCTCGTGCAGTGTAAGTTGCTGGGAGCATGGGGACGCAGGGAGTGGGGAAGGGGGTGTTTGCGGGTTCTGGGCTGCAGGGATTGGGACAGGGTGGGTGTCAGTGGGTCCTGGGCTGCAGGGAGCAGGGTGGAGGGATCAGTGGGGGAGTTTCTGGGCTGCGGGGAGCGGAGCAGGGTGGTTAGTGGAGATACTGGTCTGCAGGAAGCAGGGCGGGGGCGTTGTGGGGCGCTGGGCTGCAGGGAGCTGGATGGCGGTGTCAGTGGGGATACAGATTAAAGCACAAAGAATTTCTTCTTCCCTGGGACTCAGCTTTAAAGTTACAGTGGATGGGGGACATGGACTTAGCACAGAGGAGTTAAATGAAACAACAAAACAATGAAAATAACCTGGTGTCTAAATAAACATTCCCCATCTACTCACGTATCCTTACTTCAAGGTCCAGGCCATTTTTATACCCAGTGTTCTTGTAGGCATGGTATCCCTGCCAGTTCAATTTATCTTTTTCGCCCCCCGCCCTCCCCCCCTGCTTCCTGGTTTTAACTCACACCAAGACAGACAGCCAGCAGGGTCCCTTTCTGTTCAAATCTCAGCACCTTTTCCCATGGGCTCTCCTGCCTCCCTGCCAACACCTTTCACCAACTGCTAGGCCCAGACAAGGATAACACTCCTCCTATCCATCACATCGAAGAGGCTCTAACCTGGCTCCAGGCGGGGGCTGGCTGGCTCGGGGCAGGGGTCCCAGAGTCTCAGTGGGTTCCTGTTCCCACAGGTGACCGCACTCGGACACTGATCGAAATGAGCTGCAAATTCGTCTTCATGGGGACTGGATTCTTCCTGGCCTATTACCTCACCTGGCTCTATTACAGACGGTAAATCCGCCGCTGGCCCCATCCGACCTATCGACCCATCAGCCCACCCCTCTACCCAAACACCCAGTTCCCTGCCCACCGACCTACACATCTATATACCCACCCATCTACGCACCCATCTACATACCCGCTGACCTCCCCACCTACCAATAGCCACCTCCCTATCATCTATCTACACACCTACCCCACTAACAAACTAACCCAGCCCTGTACCAGTGGGACACCCACCTCCCTCTGTCCAGACTGCCCACCACATACCTACCCCGGAATCTCTTTCTCTCTCAGAACACCCTGCTGCTGCCATCGAAGCAGGAGGAAGGACAGGTCAGGGGGCAGAGGATCCTCAGTGTCCCGGTCCACTGTGTAGCTCTGGCCAATCCTCAGCCATCAAAGAGCCGACACGGAATTGGAATCTCATCAGTCTGAGGAAACAGAGAACAAGACTTCAGCTGGGGGCTGCTGCCTGGGGTGAGGCCAATGGACCCATCTCACCTGGTATCGCGCCCCCTCCCTCCCTGCCCCTTGGGCGCCAAACATTAATGGGCCCCTCTAGCCTGGTATCCCGTCTCCTCCTGGCCCCTTGGGATCAAACCAATAATGCTACCCCTCCATGACAAGTGCAGTGCCAGGCCCTCTAGAACAGACCAGACCAGCTGATCCTACTCACCGACCCCTGCCAGAGGGCATTCAGCCCAGCGGCTCTGACGCCCCTGCCCAGGCACCTCGGGGCTAAAGTGTCACAGAGAAGCGTTTTTGTGGTGCACAGTGAAAAATCACCAACACCAAAAGTTTGTTTGAATCCCGCTTGACTTCGCTCAGTTGTTCATTTGGGGCCAAACAGTCCCCAAATTCCACAAACCAGGAACCCCAACGTTTCCTTTAAGGGGGATCAAAAAAAGAAATGTTTCACTGTCGTGATTCGACACCATGATATGGTTGGACATTTTCTCTTTTACCTTTTGAATTAAAAACTGTTTAAAATGCTTGACAGCAGAACAAAACGTCTCATCCAGACACCAAATTATTTTTGACTTTGTGCTTCACTGAACCTTTTCATATTGACATGATCCAATTTCAACCTTCACCCCAACTTTTAGTTCCCCCAAAGTGTTTTCAAGTTCTGTTTTTAGATTGACTCCACACTATGTTTTCAAATATTTGGTTCACCAATAAAATCAACCATTTCTCTTTTGTTTTGACCGAAAATTACTGGTTTTTTTTCTTTTCAGTTTACAGAATTTTTCAGAAAACTGTATATTTGGTTTGACTGCAAATGATTTTTTTCTTCTACTTTTAAGTTGAAAATATTAATTTTTGGTTCTACCCCCAATGTTTTAAAAATGTTTTCCATAAGCTAAATATTTTGACAAGTTCTTGGTTTTGATTTATTCTTCTAGCTAGGGTGGGAATGGGACAATGAGCCTTTTCCCTTCAGGGGATGATCACTTTGATCCAGCCCCAGCGTTGAGGTCTGGCTGACTCTGGTGTCAGCGGTGGGATAGTTGTGATGATGAGTGTAGGCTATGTTGTTCGGTAGCTGTATCAGAACAAATTTCTGGTGGCTGTGGGCAGATAACAGATATGCCCATTCTCATGGCCTCAATACCTAAAGGCTGCGTCTAAACAGGCATGATTTTGCACAAATGCTTTTAACGGAAAAGTTTTTCCGTTAAAAGCATTTGCGGAAAAGAGCGTTTAGATTGGCACAGATGCTTTTGCGCAAAAAGTGCTTTTGCACAAAAGCATCCGTGGCCAGTCTAGATGCGATTTTGCGCAAGAAAGCCCCAATCGCCATTTTCACCATCGGGGCTTTTTTGCGCAAACCAGTTCTTCCCTGTCTACACGGGTCCTCTTGCGCAAAAACATTTGCACAAGTGGGCTTATCCCTGAGCTGGGGCATCGTAGTATGTGCGCAAGAACCCTGACAATCTTACATTAGATCGTCAGCGTTCTTGCGCAAATTCAAGCGGCCAGTGTAGACAGCTGGCAAGTTTTTGCCAGTCTAGATGCAACCAAAGAGCATCCCCCCACATTCAGGTCGCCCGATATATGGAACTGTTCCCATGCGTCCTTTGACAGTGCTCAGGAGAGGAAGCTGGCAGCATGTGGTTTCCTGCAGAAGACGCCCACTTGCTCTATGAATTAAGACTTATAGGGCCCCCTGTCTGATCAGCGTTCCATTGGTGGTCTCAATGTGCAGGGGATAACGATGGAGAGACCTGTCCAGGCTCGCACCAATTCTCAGACCTCCAGGCCTAAGTCTTGGCCAGGAATCCAGTACGGGAGAGATGGGGCAGAAGAAACCAGCTGTTCTGGAAGGAACCACCAGATGGTGCAGTTACACAAATACAGACAAGATCTCAGCCTATGAGCAAGTGTTCAGTCTCTGGAGAAATGCTGAATTGATGGTGTTCAAGATTTGTATGTAGCTATAAACATAACTTTGAGGGTGCATCTATATATTTATTATTCTATATCTACACATGTAGATACACATACGTTGTATAAAGACATATCGAATAATGCTCACTTTTATGATAGTGTAATATGTGTGTAATAGAACTGTCTAACAATTTCAACAATTGTCACATCAATTAATTGTGATTACTGACACGATGAATTGCACTGTTGAACAACAGAGTACTGTTTCTTTCAGTATTTTGGATGTATTCTATCTGTTCATATATATTGGTTTCAGTAAGAACATACAATTCACAGTCTACAGTGCTCACTTTATAGTGATTTTAAATCGCAAATATTTGCACTGTAAACAACAACAGAAGTTGAATATTTCAGTTCAGTTCCTACACACACCGAAGCGCAATCCCTCTAGTATGAAAGTAGAGCTTACCAATGTAGAATGATGCATTATTTCCACTGTAAAAAACAACAGAAGTTGAATATTTCAGTTCAGTTCGTACACACACCGAAGCGCAATCTCTGTAGCATGAAAGTAGAGCTTACCAATGTAGAATGATGCATAGAAAGGAACTGCATTCAAAAATGAAACTCTGTTAAACTTTAGAGGCCACAAGTCCACTCAGTCCTACTTCTTCTTCAGCCAATCGCTCGGACACCCCAGTCTGGTTACACTGACGGGAGATAATGCTGCCTCAGTCTTACGTACAATGGCACCTAAAAATGAGGACAGGCATTCTCATGGCACTTCTATTGCTGGCATCACGAGGTATTTGCGTTCAACATCCGCTCCATATTTGTATGCCCCTTTGTGACAGTGCTGAGATGTGGCCCCCTCTGGGGAGGGGCACAGGAGCTGTGTGGAGCCGAGAGACCCGGGGCCTATGAGTCGGTGACACAACCCATGGCTGGTGCAGCCATTTTAATGCAACAAACAAACCTGTTTGAAAGAGGCTCCCTGGGAGGCAGCCCCCCCCCCCCGGGTGGAACAGCAATGTGTGGGGGGGATCGTCACATGCAGTGAACTCCAGAGAGTCGGACACCCAATGGGGATTAAGTGGCAGCAGAAGGGAACTCGCCAAAGCAGGGGCTGGCCTGGCTGGGGGGGCCCTACCCCGTATCTCAGCCCAAGGTGCAGGGGTCTGCCTGGATCCAGACAGCCAGGGGCCCCCTACTAATCATTGGGGCACCAAATTTCTCCAGCCCTAAGATCCCGGGGCCAGGGAGAGAGACCCCTCCGAAGGCCTGGGAAGAGGCAGCGTCTGGTTCTCAGGGAGGGGGCACCGAGTGGCTCCTCCAAAATGCCCAGATTTCAATTTCTGCTCCCACCCTGCACCCAACACGCTAGTTATAACCACTAGGCCTGGCTGCCGCAGTCCCAGCAGGGGTCTGCCCTGGGCTGTCTCCCTCCACGTCTTGTGACCACGCTCACCTGCTCTCTGCGGCTCCCGCCCGGCTGGGAACGGGGGCCGGGGCCGGAGGTGGCGCAAACTCACCAACTGGAAACTTCCTCTTGTGCAAGATCGGCTCAGCAAGCTGCTTCCCAGCAGCCCGACGGCGCGGGGTCCAGAGCCCAGAGCCATGGGCAGGGCCAGGGGATCTGAGCTTCATTTAGTTCCAGGGGCTTTACAACCCCTTGTTTCTCAACTCTGGGCAAGGAGCCTTGGATAAACCGCCCCCGCCCCACCCCAGAGCCAGCCGCATCTCAGCACTGGAGGGAGCC